ATAAGCATTGAGCATTATTGTCAGAGGCAAAGCCTTTAGTTTCACTAAAGCTGAGCTGGACCTAGCCAAGAGTCAAAGAGTTTAAGGTATACAAAACCATTTTGCAGAGAATTCACAAAAAAGCCTGCTATCACAACCTAATCACACCTCAAAAGTACATCAGTTCCCCTTTAACCACTTGCCCTCTAGAGGATTTGCCCCCCTTAATGACCAGGCCTCTTTTTGCTACTCAGCGCTGCACTAATTCAACTGATAACTGCGCGGTCATGCAATGCTGTACCCAAACAAAATTTATGTCCTTTTTTTTCACACAAATAGAGCTTTCTTTCGGTGGTATTTGATCACCTGTGCACTTTTTTTTTTTCGCGCTATAAACAAAAAAAGAGCAAAAGTTTTGAAGAAAAACGATACTTTTTACTTTCGGCTATAAAAAAAATATATAGTAAATGCAAAGTTAGTTATAAATTTAGGCTAAAATGTATTCTGCTACATGTTTTTGGTAAAAAAATCCTAATAAGTGTATATTGATTGCTTTGTATGAAAGTTATAGAGTCTACAAACTATAATATAGATACTGCAATTTTTACCCCATTGTTTTGCTATACAGCGCTGCACTAGTTTAACTGACAATTGCGCAGTCATGCAATATAGTTTAACTGACAATTGCGCAGTCATGCAATACGGTGCATAAATTAAATTTATGTCCTTTATTCACACAAATAGAGCTTTCTTTTGGGGGTATTTGTTCACCTGTGCGCTTTTTATTTTTGGCGCTATAAAACAAAAAAAGATTTGAAAAAAACAATATTTTCTCATTTTTGTTATAAAAAATATCCAAAAAACTAAAATTTCGTCATAATTTTAGGCCAAAATGTATTCTGCTACATCTGAAGAGACAAGCGAGCGCTTATAACAAAAAAAAAAAACTTAAAACTCAGCATGTGCAGACCTGCCAACACTGCTCTGCAAAATCCCCACCTACATTGGGACTTAGACAGAAGGGGGAGATAGAAAGCAGCAGGATCAACCAGGTTTATTTATTGCAGAATACAAAAAATGAATCTCATAGTGACTGACTTCTTGTGAGCTACTAATATCCACAGAGCGGCTGCATCACATATGGCAATAGATACCAGGCAGTGAGAGGCACCTGACCAAGACCAGACCATTGAGGGATCTTCAGTCCTCTGGAATTGATAGTTCCTAATGCGCATTTTGATTGCGTATCTGGTGAGTGCGCAATCTTATCACTTTAACCACCATAGCACCAGACTAGACCACTGGACTTTAAAGATCATCTGGATCTCCTGTGCACTTTTTATTGTGGACTATTGCTTGATTTTCTAGTCTGGCACTTTGCACTTGATTGGTCACTAAACAGTGACAAGATTATCACTTTATGCTGCACTTTATTTCAATTTATTTATATAAGCTGATTTCATGCGTTTTTTATGATGTAGGCATGCATCTACCATTGAAATCTGGGGTCTATCAGACTCTAGATATCTCCACTGCCCTTACATTATCTAATCAAACCAAGATCGGAGTGACCAGATGCTTTCCCAATTTACAAATGGCGCTGTTTTTATATCCTGCAAAATTGAAGTGATGAAATGCTTGTATCTTCTGATTTCTTAGACTATAGAGATGATTGGCACCAATCAGCTCTATGGTGAACTGGCAGAAACACCGGCTGCATGCTCAGGTTCCTCCAATGGTACGGGACTGCCTGAGAAGTCCGTGGAAGGCAGTGGGGGAGGGGGCAGGCATCATCTCCCACTGCTTGTAAAAGCAATCCTGCAGCTAATTAGCCACTAGGATTGCTTTTACATGAAATCCAATCGCCAGCTGAAAAAAAAACTATACCAGGATGATGCCTGCAGCTGTAGGCATCATCCTAGTATAACCAGTCAAAGTCTAGGAATGTACCAGTACATCGCTGGTCCTTGTTGGGTATATATGCTATGTTCTTTTTTTTTTTTTGTATGCAGAAAAAGTGTGTAGTATGCCCACCACTAGAATATACCGCCCTGTATCCACCCACTTCTAAGGGTGGGCACACAATAGGTCCTACGGTGCCACACATGCGCCATGTAAACAATGCAGCCATCCTGCCTGTTGGTGTTTGCTTGCAATTGCGGCGGGTAATCACTCGGGGACCCGGTGATTGACTCCCAGGGCCGCAATCGGCGATGCAGGTAGGGCGGGCGCGCGCACCTACCCAGAAATGCAGGATCACATTTATATACGTGATCTTGCGCACAGGGGCCGCCTTGTCGCAGTATATGTACTGTGGGTGTTCCCCTAGTGGTTAAAGTGATACTAAACCTAAAAATATTTTTTCCCTTAATGCATTGCTTTCATTAAGGTAAAAAACATTTTCAGTTTCTCTGTCCTCCCCCTTCCCTGTGATGGGGAAGAGAGGGGAGAAAAGATCCAGCGCTGTGCACGGCTGCATCTCTTCTCCCCTCTCTTCCTTTTTTACACAGCACTCGACCAGCAGCAACAGCCATTGGCTCCTGCTGCTGTCAATCAAATGCAGAGTGGGGGGGTGGGACTAAGTCCCACTGTGTGTGTCTATTGAGTGTGGCTCCGTAGAAACATAGCTCACGAGCGAGTGGACACTTTGTCGGCTTGCTATGGGGACACATAAAGGAGGAGGAGCCAAGATCGCAAGACCCAAACAGAGGGGAGTATAACTTAACCGCAGAAATACTGCTACAGGGCGACACGGGTGGGCAAAATATATAAACACACGTGATTTTGCAGTTCTGAGTAGGAATAGTACCGTTATTTGCAGCCTCAGCTGTCACTCACCGGGTCCCGGCCGGGGATTCCTTGCCGGCACTCGGCGCTCTCTTGAGTATTACCAACGGGAGAAGAGACCTGTGTATAAACAACACAGATCTCCCGTCAGCTACTGCACATTGCTTTGTATGGCTCTGCATAACAGAGCCATACAAAGCAGTGTGCTTACAGTGTAAACAGCACACAGTAAAACAGCACGCAGCACACAGGTAACCCTTTGATCGCCCCACATGTTAACCCCTTCCTGCCCTGTGCCCATAGTACAGTGTCAGTGCTTTTTTATTAGCACTGATCACTGTAATGGTGTCACTGGGGATGTCAGGGACACCAAGTCAGTTCCTCCGCAGTGTCAGAATGCCCGCCGCAGTCCCGCTATGAGTCGCTGATCGCCGCCATTACTAGTAAAAAAAAAAAAAATTTAATTAAAGTCCAGTATATATACCGCCATAACTTTCACGTAAACCAATTAATTTACACATATTGGGATTTTTTTTTTTAGTAAAGACATGCAGCAGAATATATATTGTCCTAGATTGATGAGGAAATTTGATTTTTTTACTGGACATGTTTCATAGCAAAAGTAAACAAATATAGTTTTTTTTTTCAAAAATTGTCGGTCTTTTTTTGTTTATAGTGCAAAAAATAAAAAAAACGCACAACAAAAGAAAGGAAAGCTCTATTTTGTGGTAAACAAAGGACATAAATGAAATTTGGGTGCAGCGTTGCATGGCCGCGCAATTGTCAGTTAAAGTAATGCAGCACGGTATCACAAAAAATGGCCTGGCCATGGTCGAGGGGGGGGGGGGGGGGGGGGGGGGTGGGGGGGGGGGGGGGGGGGGGGGGGGAGAGGGGGGGAGGGGGGGGGGGGGGGGGGGGGGGGGGAGAAGAGTAAATCCTCTGTTGGGCAAGTGGTTAAAGAAAAGTTTAGACTTTAGCAACACTTTTAACACTTCCCACTAGAGAAACAATACTTTCATGGCATTTATCATGCATTCTTTAAGCTTTTTCAACGCCTCGAAAAACACAACAAAAAAAGGAAAGCTCTATTTGTGGTACATCATAAATGCTATAGGTGTGTGGATGAGGAAGAGGAAGGGGAGGAGGATCAGAGGAAGGAGAAGGAGGGTGTGGTCAAAATTAGCAATGCATGGCAGCTACCACCTCTCTTTTTAGGTCTGCCTATCAATTTTTTTTTTTTGTACAGTCCTGATCTAGGGAAGGGCAGGCAGCCTAAGACCCTTAATTTGTGATGTGTTGTGGAAGGGTGGCTAGCCGTAGGCAATCGATTTTCCCCTGAAACTCTGTGTAGCATCTTCAAAGTGACAAAATACCAAAATCAGGCAGGAGAAAAAAGAGGGGGGGGGGGGGGGGGGGGGGGGGGGGGGTGGGCAATGGGAAAAAGAAGGGAAAAAGCAAGGAACAAGGAGAATAAAGAGTGCCGTATGCTGCTAACATGTCTGATTGAAGTGCTAACAAAGATGCATAAAGTAAATGGTAGAGGACAGGCTTTAAAATATTTCCATATCCAGATCTTGGGTTAGCACCAAATCAAGAAACCAAAAGTACAGGGGATACCACAGCTTATCAATAGAGATCTGATTGAAGAAAAAAAAACATACATGGACTTTCCCAGTATCCCATAGACACATACAATTTATTCCAAAATATAAATTTTAATACAAAAATCAAGTTAAAAATCACACATTATTTAAAGATCAGGCTCTACAATCATGGAGAGCATTTCCCTTGGCAACTGTACAGGTATAGATCTAATACCCAAATCCGGGGTGAGGTACAATGCAAGGGAACACAAACTCCAACCATATGTTTCATGGTGTGAGCCATGTCTTCAGGAGCCAGAGATAGTAGCATAGTTTAATAGTTAATCCAAACAGACTTAACAACAACCACATATACAAAACATCAGTAAATTAGAAAACGCCAGGCTTATCTTTCACATTCAAGCAGTGAGTAAGCCTTATGGCTCAGCCTGGCGTATAATAATTTACTGTTGTTTTGTGTATTTGGCTGTTATTACTATTATTGTTTTTGTGATTTTTAACTTGATTTGTGTAATAGAATTTATATTTTGGAATAAATTGTTGTATGTGTCTATGGGGTACCGAGAAAGTCCATGTATGTTTTTTCTTCAATCAGATCTCAGTTCATAAGTATATGTGATGTCTTCTTACTTGTTCAAAATGCACAGGAACTGGGACTGATCCAGCTGGGTTCCAGGGATTATATTGCAATACCGGTTTGTGCATGACCCTGCACAGAAGGATAGAATACAGGTCTGACCTTGATGGATGGCAAAGTCCGAGTCTATATAGGGTGCACAGTCATCAGCCACAACTAGAACAAACAAAATAAACAGATAATTGTCTCATTAAAATAGAGAAAGGAAAAAGGTAACATTAAATAATGACAAACGAAACATATACTGTATTTATGAAACTCTCAAAGCTGAATTCCCCTTATAGATATTTTTGCAGTTACATTGGTTTACCTTGGTTAGTTACACATCCCAGCCAATGGATAACACAGCACTGTGTGAGTATTCAGTTTTCCATACCTCTCCTGTTTATCCAGAGACCCCTGGACCACAATAACTCACTTCAAGGTGCTTAAGAGGGAGAAAATCGAAGAATGCCCATATCCCGAACTCCTATGTGATCCCGGAAGTGATGAACATTTTGTAATTTCCAATTTCAGTTCATTCATTTCCCAGCTACTGTGGCAGGGGAAACAGTTCATCAAGCACAATCTGTGCTTGATTAGCTGCAGTTGATGGCAGGGAGACATTGGGGGTTTAATAGACCCCTGATGTTCTCATACAGAGACCTTTTCTCTATTTGGTGTAATGACCATTTTTGCCTATGGATTTGTGCACTGTCTCCATTGACCGTGCTCCTGGGATCAGGGGAGAAAGGTGAAGGTGCAGGGTGGGTGATATAAAGAGGTCCTGTCACCTGTAATTTCATCAGAACAACATACTCTAAGAGGCGCTGGGAACTTTGAAACTTGCAAATGTGTTGAGATAGTGGGAAAAGGTTACAAACAAGCTCCCACACAGCAAGCCTTACTTTGTTGGGTACCCAACATTAACTCAAACCACAGAAATATAGAAAGGAGCGCCAGACCAAAATCAGACCACATTGTGCATGATCATTTTATTTCTTGATAAAAAAAGCATAAAAACAGCCAATGCATTTCACAGATCTATAGAAGAAACAGTATTGAACTGTCCTCATGGAGGAACGAGCTGGGAGCAGGTGCTGTGCAGCAATGACGCATTTTCATAAAAATGTGAATTTTAATAGAGTTTATTGGCAGTGCACCTAAAAATCCATGCAAAAGGTGCATAAAAATGGAAGAGGAAAAAATGCAGCGCACAGATGTGAATCCGGCCAAAGTATCAGCTGGAGTTTGACTTAAATTCCTTAGTGCATCTAAATCTGCTTGTAAATCTAACACTACCCCAGACTGACAATGCTGCTGTCTAAAGGTGTCTCTGTTTGCTCCTTCATCCAGAGTGTAGGCACATTGATAAAGTAGGTGTGTTACTGACCAGATCACCAGGTGAAAACAGAGGGGGAAAAGCCTAAAAAGGAAAACTAATGCAGCCATTACATCTAAGGACTAGTAAGCTGCAATATAATAAATGCACGATTTTGTATTTATTACTACTTTAACTCCTAGCAGGCTATTCATTTTTATCTGTTATTTTTGGCTGGAGTACTACTTTAAGCACATATTTCGGAGGCTATTTTTTTGTACTGTTCCAATTTGCACTACACTTCCCTCCCCCAACATGACATAGATCTACTTCCTGCAGGTGTAAAAGCCGAGCCGAAACACGGTACAAGTAGTGGTCATGCATCTGCACGCATTCTAGATAATTTACTAAAAGAGTAGACTTTAAAATAAACATGTAATGAAGACATATGGAAGCTGTCAGAGCTGTCCTTTTTGTCTGAAAATTCTAGTCACCTGACTGTCATCATAATCCACTGTTTTCAGTACTTTCTAAAGACTAATACACACAACCAAATGTTGGGGGGGCGTTGGCCGGTTCAATACAAACCTACTGACATTCAGCTTTAGTGTATGGCAGCCAGTCCGTCAGAAGCTGGGTGTTCCAAAGGGCATGACCGAAAAAGGTTTGAAGATCAGCGCCAGATCAGCGCTATCAGCCAATGGCAGTGCTGACCGGAGTGTTTTGGTGGGGGGCCATCCCCCCTGACAAAACACAATAGCACAGCAGGGGAGAATGCTGTACTAACATCAGATAGTTTGTACAGCGGCTCCTCCTGACCACTGGGTTAAACGGAAAAAAAAAAAAAAAATAGTAGTGTGTACCAGACGTAAGGCTTCATGAACACATGGTTGTGAGCTGGGGCAGTTACATCAGATAGTGTGGTTAGCAGCATAAGTCAGAACGCATGCGTGTGTTTTAGGCAATCTCCAGCGCACAAGCGCATACAGCTGCCCCTTTGAATGCATTTCAGTTGGCAGCTGTACGTGGCAGTAGCAGGTCCCAGGAATGTCATGACACAGACTTTGCACGCTAGATCGCCCCTGTAAGGGCCTGTTCAAGCCACATGTTCTGCGTTCTGGATGCATTTTGCATACACACCTATGCAGGTTGTGTTTGAGCCATTTCTGCATTGCATTTTGCGTTGTGTTTTTGCACCTGCGTTTTTGACTCGTTTTGCATTTGTTTTTCTTTTTTTCATTTTTCTTGTTGCTAGGCAGATTTAAAATGCAAAACGCATAAAAAAAAAAAACACGGCAAAAACGCACTATATGCTTTTCTGCAGCGTTTCCATTGAAGTATATAAAACCAAAAATGCAACTTTTTGTGTTAAAAAAAAAGTCCCTGTCCCTTTCACCGGGTGAAAACGCGGAGATGTGAATGTGTCCCATAGGAAATCATGTTAAATGGACTGTACTGCGTTTCTGCAAAACACTGTGGAAAATGCTTAGGTGTGAACCTAAGATAAAGGCATGTACATGAAGCCTAATTTTGTCACTCCAAGCAAAGATGCATATTTGGAGTTCTGACTTTCTGCATGCTCATTAGAGTGCATTCACAATAGCGAACGCACCTGCTCGACAATTATATGCGAAAACCCCAGATGGAGTTTCCGTGATGAGATGCAATGGGAGGCTACCAGCTCTTGCTGCTAATCAGGCCCACTCACATGTATTCACTCATGTGAATGATTGGCACCCTCCTATTGCTTTCATTGGGGGTTCCTATCGCAGATAATTGCAGGAACCCGCAATAAAGTTCTCACATGTAATTGCTGAGCGAGTGCATTCACAAGTGTGGATGCACCCTTATGGTCTGTAGTACAGATGCTACAGATAGCCCAGCAAATAGCATTTCCAGACAGAGGTTAGCAACAGTACCCCCTATATTTCTTTCAGTATGTTTCCATTCTAAAGCCAAACCTTTCTTTTTAGTTTTGGATAGAGTAGGTAAGCGTTAGAATGTCTGTTAGGTTTCTGTTGCTGTATGTGTCCCCATTAGGAAACTTTACCTTTTTTTTACATGCTCTGGTGATCACAGTCAACTATACTGAAAGTGAGCTAAAATCCAAAACTTTGAGTGTAACAGGAATACAGAGGAATGCTTTCCATGGGGACACTTGTTCTGGTGACAACAGTCTAAGCCTCCATTCACACCTGAACTTTTGCAGTGCGTTTCCCTATCGGTGACCATGCTCAACCTGCCAAATCCCATGGTTTGTAATTATGCCTGTTCACTTTTCAGCACTCAATTGCCTGTATACTCTATGCTCAGAATAGTACAAGAGATATTTGTTAGCCTAATCAGGTGTTTATCGTCCCATAGACTTCAATGAGAGAGTGCCTGTAAACACATTTGCACCAGAACTCTTCTCTTCTCCTCTAGAACTGATCTTACCCCTTGCTCATCCCTGGAAACAAATGTCTGAAATTTGATACATGTGCAAAACCTCCTGCACAATGCTTGCTATGAAAAAACAAACAAAGGAAAGAACAAAGGCAACCTGTTATTAACAGTTCGATCTGTTTAAACCTAGTTGAAACTGCCTTAAAGTGGACCTTCACTTAAAAGCAAAAGTTGCACTCATCCCCCTCCTCCTCTAACAAAATTGGTACCCACTTCTGCAATTTTTGCCTAGGCTAGAATCATGTCAGCTTGGCTCGCTTCCCCCCTTCCTGGCCACACAATTGTAGCTGCTGATCTTTTTTTAAATAGGACTAAAGTCCTGTTTGAGCCATGTTTTAACTGCCCCTCCACCGCTAACCCTTTTGGGGGTGGGTGTACACATGCAGTGGCAAAAATGTATAACTCCTGTCACACTTCAAGTGAACGGGGCCATGCTGCACCTGCCCCACAAATGCATACAATGCGTGCAGTTAAAACAGGTGTTGAGGTAGCTCTCTGAGGAGCGATCCAATCATGGGTTGATCTTCAAAAAGCAAAGCAGGTGTAAATGAGCCTTAAAGTAAAAATCTGAAGTGTAACTAAAGGAAAAACTTGTTAGATTTGGAGAGTGCTGATGGGGTCACAACCCCTGTCAAGTTTGTATTGCTGTCTGTGTCTCCATTAGGGAGCTTGTTCACACCAGATGCAGTGTGAGAAAGAATACAAAATTATATGGGTGACATTAATTATTACAGTGGTATTAAACCCAAAATGTAATATATTGCAGCTTACCAATCATTAAATGTGGTGGCTGCATTAGTTATCTTTCCTTAGGCGTTTTCCCCCTCTGTTTTTATCCGGTGCTCTGGCCAGTAACACACTCCCTGTATTAGAGTGCCCTCACGATAAAATAATATAACAAAAATCATACTAGTATTCATTCAGAGTAAGTGGATTTGACTTACCCATTATCCAAATGTAAGTATTGTTTATACCATATCCATATTCGGCCTCTGACCCTTACTGTAGATGGATATGGATATGGTATAAACAATACTTGCATTTGGATAATGGGTAAGTCAAATCCACTTACTCTGAATGAATACTAGTATGATTATTGTTATATTATTTTATCGTTTAGTTGCCAATCACGTACTCCTTTTAGATTTGATAATGGTGTCATTGTTTGAGGTCATCCATGTTCCTTGCAGTCGGTAAGAGAAATACATGTGGGGGTTGTCACTTAGCTTTATGGGATACACAGGAATAGTCCCCGCCCATAGGCGGTCTGGAAACCCCTGGACTGATTTTTGGGTTTGACACCAACACCATATATTAGTCTGGGAGCAGCCAACAGTCTTGTGGGCTCTGAGGAAGAGGATAAGTCCTCGAAACGCGTCAACCTGTTGAGATTCCATCATTCTGTTACGTCATGATGTTTTGCGGATTGAACTGTGCTGCTTTCATGAGAGGAGCATGTACTTTTAGTCTATTTTGTGAGTATAATACTTACAATTTTATACAATAAAGCCATATTTTATGGATAATGCACTAAGCCAGTGCGCCCTCTGTTTGTTTGTTATTGCAGTGCCTCTAGACCTCCCCAGTCTTGTGAGGGCAGCAAGGCGAGTGCATCCCATGAGGGCCAAGACATGACTGCAGTCTACTAACCTTTTCGGGCCCACTCCCTAAGCGCAGGAGTTTTCTGATACATATGGACATCACCATTGTCAGTTTGGTGGGAGGGGAGTGTTAGATGTACTAGCAGATTTAAATACACTAATTAAAGTGTTACTAAACCCACAACAGTAAAATCAGTCTGTATATGCAGTAAATCATGCTTGTTATACTCACAGTGGAACCTAAGGGGTTAATCCTCCACACCCCCCCTATGTAAAAAGAATGTTTTGTTTTGGGCTTTTTTTTTAATTATATCTTTATTAATTTTTCCGTAATACAAAATCCACTTTATAATAAAATGTCATAAAATACAATTTCTTCTTACATTTATCTACTTCCCAAACCCCTCCATCTTCCTATTCTTTTCATTTACTTCTTAGTCTTCTTGTATCCTCATAATAAACTTATCCATTATCTTATCCTTGTTAGTGTAAAAAGGATGTTTGATCCTGTCTTCTCTGCTCCTCCCCTTCTTCTACTGTCCTCAATCCATCTGCTGATAGAACAGAGCCTTGGGGGCAAGCTGCATATGCTCTGTTTAGTGTGTATTGCTAGAGTGTTTTTGTTTTTTTCTTGGCAGAATGCATGTGATCAGCACAGGGCCAATCAGCACTGTCCAGACAGCAAACTGTTTTTTTTTTTTCCTTTTTGTCATTGTAAGCACACCTGTCAGTGTTAAATGGTTTATCTCATCTCTGTAACTGATACATTCTGCTGGAGAACTTGCTCTTCTGAAAAACAACAGACTTACTGGTTGGATTACTAAATGAAAATAAAATGCAAGAAAGAAGACCCAAAAACGAGAAATGAATGCAGCCATCACATCTAAGAAATGGTAAGCTGCAATATACTAAAATGTTTGCTTTTGGGTTTAATAACCCTTTAATGGCATCCCCATGTGTCTAACAAATGTGTATATGTTCACCAAAACGCATGATACCACAGTACTATACAGTTTTCTGTGGCACAATATTAAAAAGCATGCATGCAAAAAAGGCTTGTGTGCTCAGACGCATCTCATGGTGTGAACAAGCCCTAATTGCTCTGATGTTATGGGAAATGAAAGTGACAGCAAGCAGACCTCTCTATACTCTATCCAAAATAAAAAAAAAAGTTTTATTTTCCAGGTATACTGTAATAATTCCCCAAAGTCCATCTAGCCTTATGGATATTGCAGCCAATTTCTCCTTGCTATTCCATGTAGTGTGGATGTTTTGCACTCACCTCTTGTTATGCATATCAGACCGAGAATTGTAAGGTGCTTGAAGATTTGATCCATGTTTGAACAGAGTTTTCAGTCTTCTTTCCCCGCTTAGAACAATCTCTTGCTGGGCTCTGTTCTGTAATAGAAATCCCTCCTGTAGCATGACAGGCCCCTCCTCTCTATCTTCACCTAGGTGGGGAGAGGCATCCTGTTAACCACATATATCCCAGCCAAACATATATACAGTATGTGTGTCTATCTATCTATCTATCTATCTATCTCTATCTATCTATCTATCTATCTATCTATCTATCTATCTATCTATTGCATGTACAAAATAAAAGGGATTACTGCATTAATTTCATCAATGCCATCAAGAAGTACATACAGTAATATATATATATATATTTCTCATTTTTAATTTTGTATTTATTTATTTTTTAGAAAACTTTATTAATCCCAAAGGGAAATTATAATTTATTTTATTTGATATTTTTTATATATATATTTTTAGCCTATTTTTTGGCTGTTTTACCAACGCTTGCCAAACGCCCCTATAGCGTTTGGCAAGCATTGGTCCGGCGTTTGCCGAGCGTTTTTTAATGCTTGGCAAACGCCCCGAAATGCCGCATGCGTGGTTTAGCGGCGGATGCTAGGCGTTTGCCGAGCGTTAATAACGCCCCACAAACGCCTATAATGCAGTTTGAGTGGTGTTACCGCTCCGCAAACGCCCCGCAACCGTGTCGCAACCGTACCGCAAACGCCGGCCGGGCGTTTGCGGAGCGGCACCATAGACGAGAATAGGAGGCTTCAACGCCTCCTGACTCGATCAGAGGCGTCCGTTTTGCCGCGAAGCAACGGACGCGACGCAAACGCTCCCGTTAGAACAGCACCATGTGCTGTAATGTGCAGAATTGGCAGAGGCGTTTGGGAAGCGGTAAAAACGCTTCCCAAACGCCTCTCTGCCATCTGCACACAACGCTAGTGTGAACGTAGCCTTAGGGATCCTTTACACTTCCAATTGCGAGGTGGCAAAAACCTTGCAATTGAGCTGTGTTTTTACCGCCCCTCAATCGCCCCCCTTTTGCTGCAAAGGCAGTAGCCTGGGGTGTACACATGCCGCGGCATTGATGCTTTGTTTCATAGATGCAGCAGCAATTATATCCTGTCACCTTGTTCAAATGAATGGGGCCTTGTTGCCGTGTACAATGTATTTGGGGGGTTAATGAAGAACCCCAGGCAGTGCCCGCACTGCATGGGTTAACTGCTTGTTTTGTCCAGGGGCGCAAGGCAGTGGTTTCCCTAGGGGAGTGTGGGCCACGTCGGGTGACACCATCACAGGGGGTGCAGGAGCAGGATGCCAGCTGAGCTTCTGGGCTCTGTGAAGGTCCTGGCCAGTTACTGGGGTGATCCCGGATTCCCGGCACAGTGACAGCTGCCCCGGTGTAGTGGTAGATTGTTCCTGCTGTCCTTGTGTCCAGAGCCGGTCTATGGGCGTGATGATGTCATTAAAACAGACAGCAAGTATACAATCCAATGCCCCCTCACAGCCTATCAAATGCTTTCTGAAGAGCGACCTGAACGCAAGTCGCACTTCATAGAGCAAAACGGGTGTAATCAAGTGCTTATGCAATGTAGCAATTTTTTTAAATGGATCTGAACACCAATTCACACACAATGCCTTTGGTAAAGATCCATAATGCTGCGTTGCATTCAGAGACAGAAATTGAACATTTTATATTGGAGCACAGTGATTTAAGCGTATATATGCAAGTACATTTGAGTGTATACGCATAAAATAAACTGCCAGTTAGAAGAGGATGGAGAACTTCAAACGAGGCCACTCTGCAACTTATGTTTTTTTCCTGAGGATCTTTCTGCCAGGCTTTGCCATCAAGTTCCTGCATATATACATCAGTAAATGTTCATGTCGGTGCCCAAGAGCCCTTCATATGAAGTGATAACCTGTGCATTTCCTGTATGTTGCCAAATACCGAAAGCAAAGCACTTTGAGAAATAAAAAGTAAATTTCTTTGCAATTTCCACAAAACAAAAGTTAGGTATTTAGAAGCCATATTGTGCAACATCAGCCAGCAGCAGTCTCCTCCTGAGCTCTCCCCCCTCCTTTGTGTGGGAGTGATTCTCCCTTTCCCAGTGGAGTGGAGGATGCTGGGAATTCTCTTAGTCAGGTTAGTTTCGTTTCTCTGAGCTCGCACTGCCTTTACAGGAAGGGGGCCTTTACCTAATCTTCTCATAGCATCTCCACCCCTAGAAGAACAGACCATGATTCATATCTACCTTGATGCAAGTTAATACTTGTAGTGTTCTATGCAGCAATGAAATGTACATTTTAGATCAGTTCACATAAAACACTGTACACAAAAAAAAAATCTAACTTTCTAAAAAAAATTAATCTTGCATATGGATCAGCTAAGCCTGTTCAGTGTAACCGCAGCCGTATTTTCTCTGCCTAGGCAGCCCAGGTGCAGTGTTCCAGCAAAAGCTTGTGCTTGTGTTTTACAATAGCACTGCCATATACAGTACATGAGTACAGTCAGGGCTACTGTTAGAAACTACGGGGCCCCAAACAGCCAATCTGACAGGACCCCCCTCCTCCCCAAAAAACACAGTTTACTAGGCTTCAGTTATGAATGAACTCATTGAGTGATCAGTACCAATCACTCATTGTGTTCATTCAGGAAAGAAAGGGTCTGGTAAATGTGGCGCATACCCTTCCCCCACTCTCCATTCTGAAGGATCCTATTGTGTGCTTGCAGCTGCCAATGGAAAGGAGAGGAGGGAAGCAGGCAGCACTGTGGAGGTGGGGGGGCCTGGGCAACAGGGGGAATGTATGGTATACAGGTAGGGTGATTTTTGCAGTGGGGGGTGTGACGGAACGCATCACCCGACCCCTGCTCTTCTCACCAACTCGGGACAAAGGAGCAGCCGATCTCACACAGCGCTGCCACTTGCATAACAATGCCACTCTCAGCTGTACCCTCAGCTGCACCCAGCTCACAGGACAACAATCTATGTGCCAGCAGCCTGAGAGCGATTATTACTGGGTCAGGTTAATTGCGCAATTAAAAAAATAGGACTATCCAGTTCAACTTGCCAGCCTACCCCAGTCTAATAATGTATTTGTCGGCAAGGAACATGGATAAGTATAACTTATCAAAAGAGGGGGATAAGAAAGCCAGTTCAAACTGCCAGCCAGTTAGCCAACTATCAAAAACCAAATTAACCTATCTAAGAACATGCATTTAAAAACGGGTTTAGTTAGCACACATTTGCAAATACATACGTAAGCCACAGAGCCACATCACGGCACCCTGGGTATCTGTGGTCCTAACTCTATAAATCTTGAGAGTCCTCACAATGGAGGCACATGCATTTAAATGGATAAAAACAAGGGCAGGTGAACCTGAGGGAGCCCACCCCTCATTAAGGTCATGGGAGCACACCTGACACCCAGCATGTAGCACAACGGCAGCCAGGGTGTCCAATGCACCCACTGAACCTCCAAAGTTAACATACAAAGAAAAAACTGGTCACACAATTAACCCTTCACACTGCCACCACCACCTTTTTACAGAGGAGGAAACTCACAAATCCTAGTAATAACACTATGATATTAGCATAAATGTCTGTAACACACACTGTCACCACAGACAGGGATATTCAGAGGATTATTACATACAGTAGCACTCTTCAAGAGACAGGGATTCTTTAGTTTGCATTAAAATCTTTAGAGACAGTTTCAACACTTTTCAAAAAAGGGTTTATTACTAAAAAGGTCAAAATGGTGCAATTAAAATATTTACAGAAAAAGGGGTTACAAAGACTCAAAGAGAACAATAATGCAACAGAGAAATAAAAAAAAGGAGTTAAGAAGGCAGAATACTTGCAAAGTCCTGGATTTAGCAGAGTCCAATTGTCTGAGCAAAAATGTTGCCTTGGCTCTCAAGTCCATTAGATGTTTCTTGATTGGTGTTAAACAAGAGCTCCTTTCTCCAGGCCTGTCAGTCCTTTTCTATGATATTAAAGGGGTGTCGCCTTCTCTCTCATATGTGCCAACATAGTCATGTATGACTTTGTTTGGCTCAATATGAAATGCTCTATACAAATATATACCTAATATTAATGTGCCCAGTTCCTGTTGGATGCTATGAACTGTATGTGAAATTGTGACATGTGGCATGGATGTCTTATGTCATGCTCTATATTCCTAGAGCCCTAATGGCCTAACAGGTCATGTGTGAGGGCTGACAGAGTTACTGATTTACGATAGGGCAGAGGAAAGGGGTTTTCATAGTTCCTGAAAACCAGACATCCTGCACAGGACTAATTAGCGGTTTACAGCTCTGGAGCTGGCCTCTATTTGTGTTTTATTTCAGATAAGAGGCTCTTTTGAAGTTGTTACAACTTACAGCTACAAATTCCATTTTCTAGAGAAGGGAGGAGAGAGAGAGATTATTATAAATGAAAAACAACATGGCTGAGACCTGAACAAGATGGCTGTCGCACACAGCGTCCATGTCTCTATTGCGCACAATCGTCAATTACTGGAACAATACCCTGTATGGCTCTCTCTGCAGCAGCTGAAAGCCAGCGGGAGAGAGAGGAGAAGAAGCCAGCTTTCAGCTGGTGCCGAGAGAGCCATACAGGGGGATCGGTTCCAGTAATTGTCTCCCCAAACTGAGCTGATCACCCTCCGTGCCCCCTGCTGCCTGGCCCCCGTACAGGAGGACCGGTGGTACCCCTTTATCCACGGCCCTAAGTACAGTAGCGTACAGCATTTCATTTTGTAGCCTAACTCCAGGTTTCCTATGACTTTAACCCCATTCACGCCGGTGCCTCCCGGCCCTTTAAGGGGTTTCTGACACCGGGAGGCGGCCGGGGTTTAGGGTCATGTGACCACCGTGATTGGTTGTCATGACAGTCACATGATCGGAAAGGTCCCGATCACAAGGAGAGATCGGGACCTTTCCGTGGAACATTGGCACATGTGCTGGGAGCACGCAGGGCGAGCACTCTCCGCACATGTTTGTTTACAAATGGTACGCAAATATGTGGATGCTCGGTGTCAAAGCTGAGAGGCCGCATATTTGCCTACAGTTGGCGTGAAGAGGTTAAATCAGTGGTTGTCAACTTGTGAGCTAAGGAGGCTCTTAAATGTGGATCCTGACATCACCAAGGGGCCACACATACTATTATTATTATTATTATTCAGGATTATATAGCGCCAACAGTTTGCTGAACGCTTTAATAATGTTCAATACATGCAATGCTTGAGAGGACTGTCAGAAACTACAAACCTAATAGAGGAAATGAGGGTCAGAGAATGTGGACATGCTACATTTTTGGCTGGGAATATGCTGCGGAAGACAATGCAAAACTGGGAACATGTTACATGAGGCTAGTATGCTGTCAGCCTCCACTGTCTCCACTACAGACTGCTGAGGACGGAGGGCCGCACATCATATCAAAGGGCCGCATGCAGTCCTTGCGCCACAGGTTGGGCACCAGGGCTTTAAATATTTCACTTGGGTCAAGTTGGCACAAAGAAACTATTTTGTTCACTAACAGATGTGTCTGCTGGGAGCTCTGTATAAAATGTATGTAGCATCAGTTACATACAGGATACAGTGCTGGGTTCTAGCAGGGCGACAGGGACTTCCTGTCCTGTTCCCAAAATAAACTCAAACCGGGATGCCATTCATACAAAGCTTTGTATTTTATAAATGAATACCAGGCTTCCTCTGACTGGCTGAGGTAGAGATTATGATGACATCTGCCCGCCTCTTCACCTCAGCCAATTAGAGGAAGCCTTGTATTCAGTTATAAATACAAAGCTTACTATGAATGGCTGAGCAGCGCTCAGCTCGACTCGATTTTGTTCAAGGAACAGGACAGGAAGTCTCCATCCTGCTGTTGGAACACAAGCAATGTATACAGTATGTAGCTAATTCTACTTACAAATTATACAGTTCTCCTGGCAGGCACATCTGTTAGTGAAAGAAGAAATTCATTTGTGACACCTTGGCCCAAACAAACAATTTAGGCCCTGTTTACACAGTGCGGTGACCTGCATTTTACCACACTGGATGAATGCAGATCACTGCTATAACACATAAAACTATTGTTTTCTATGTGTCCTGTTCACACTGGAGGTTTATTGTAGTGAGCTGCGATAAAATGCAGACATGCTACATTTTGTTGCAGCGTACAGGAAGGGATTGCATGTCACTGTACAGCAGCACAATGCATCAAGCTGCTGTACAGTGACATGAATGAAGGGCCACTTTGTGCACTTTAAATAAAGTTGACACAAAAGAGGGAACTGTGTGACAAAACGCACATTACACCACACCTTACTGCTGGTGGAAAGGAGAGCTGCCCACACTCTAAACATCTGCAGTTTAGTGCGCAGGCAGTGTGAACCCACCCTTAAAGTCATAGCAAACCTCAAGTTAAGCTTTAACCACTTCCTGACCACCCTATAGCAGAACTACTGCTACAGGGCGGCAGGGCTATGCAAAATCACGTATATATACTTGAACTTATATTTCCGGGTAGGGGGCATGCGCACCCTACCTGCTCTGCCATTGGCGGCTACAGCTGTCAATCACTGGGTCCTGGCTGGAGATACCCGGCAATCACCAAGTATCACTGATGGGGGGGGAGGTCTGTATGTAAACAACACAGATCTCCCCCCTGTCAGCTCCAGCATGCTGCTTTGTATTGCTGTGCATAGCAGAGCAATTCAAAACAGCATGCCTCCCTAGTAAAACCCACACAGCACACAGTTAACCCTTTGATCATCCCAAATGTTATCCCCTTCCTGCCCAGTGTCATAAATACAGTGTCAGTGCTTTTTATTAGCACTGATCACTCTGTTAGTGTAATTGGGGATGTCAGGGACAGTTAGTTCCCCCCAATGTCAGAATGCTCGCCGCAGTCCCGCTATAAGTTGCTGATCACCGCCATTACTAGTATAAAAAATTTTTTTTTAAAAATTCCAGTATCTATACCACCATCTGTAGATGCCATAACTTTTGCGTAAACCAATTAATTTACACGTATTGGGATTTTTTTTGTAGCAAAGACATGTTGCAGAATGCATTGTATCCTAAATCTATGACAAAATTTGACTTTTTTTAAATTTTCTTTACTGGACAAGTTTTACAGCAAAAAGTCAAAAATATATTTTTTTTTTTTCAACATTTTTTTTTTTTGTTTATAGCGCAAAAAAAACCCAAAAAACACAGAGGTGAGCAAAGAAAGAAAGCTCCATTTGTGGCACAAAAGGACATAAATTGCATTTGGATGCAGCGTTGCATGACTGCGCAATTGTCAGTTAAAGTAACGCAGCATCGTATCAAAAAAATGGCCTGGTCAGGAAGGGGGATAAATCCTCTGGAGGGCAAGTGGTTAATGAAAGGCTGTATGCTGCAACTGGGCTGCCTGGGTGGAGGATATATGGCAGCAGTTGCATTGAACAGGCCTCAGGTGGCCCGTGTGCAAGAGCCCTAAAGATGACAACATTTTAACCGCCGCCTACCATATAGTAAAATGACGGACGCAAGGCGGTTCTCTCGTTCTGGGAGGACGTCATATGACATCCTCCCATTCTAACCACGCATGCGCGGCTCCGGGAGCAGGGCAGCACGGCGATCGGTGGTGTGCTGTGTCCCTCGGACACAGCAGATCACCGATCAACGGAAAGAGCTGAAGATGTCGGCTCGGTCATGTGATCAGCTGTGTCCAATCACAGCTGATCACATGTAGACAGGGAAATGCTGGTTATCTGCATTTCTCTCCCCACGAGCTGTCACGCTGACAGCTCGTGAGGAGAGGAGAGGCGGAAATCGACATTCCTCGGAGGGGACATGTACACAGATCATCAGAGCACTGATGATCAGTGTGCCCTGATGATCTGTGTAGCCCCAGCAGCGCCACCTGTCAGTGTCCATCAGTTCCAGCTCTCAGTGCTCATCCATGCCACCTGCCAGTGCCCATCAGTGCCACATTTCAGTGCCCATCAGTGCCACATCAATGCCACATATCATTGCCCATCTGAGCTGCCTTTCAGTGTCACCCATCAGTGCCAGTCAGTGCCACTTATCAATGCCAGTCAGCGCCACCTATCAGTGCCGCCTATCAGTGTGCATCAGTGCCGCCTATCCGTGCCCGTCAGTGCTGCCTATTAGTGCCGCTTAACAGTGCCAGTCAGTGCCGCTTATCAGTGCCAGTCAGTGCCGCCTATCAGTGCCATATATGAGTGCTGCCTTTCAGTGCCCATCAGTGATGCCTGTCAATGCCCATCAGTGCCATCTACCAGTGCCTCCTCATCAGTGCCACCTATCAGTGTCCATCAGTGCAGGCTCATTAGCGCACATCAGTGAAGGAGAAAAATCACTTATTTACAAAATTTTATAACAAAAACTAAGAAAAAACTTTTTTTTTTCAAAATTTTCAGTGGTTTACCAGAGGTGATTAAATACCACCAAAATAAAGCTCTGTCACAAAAAAATGACAAAAATTTCATATGGGTACAGTGTTGCATGACCGCGCAATTGTCATTCAAAGTGCAACAGCACTGAAAGCTGGAAATTGGCCTGGGTAGGAAGGGGGTATAAGGGCCCTGTAGGCTTTAAGTAAACCTGGCACCACAGTAATACAGTATGTCAGCTGCCACTGCTGATCTCCTTCTGAAAATGTTAGCTGCTGGCTTTTATGGTGGTACACTCCCTAGGTTGCTGGCCTGGAACACATAAGAAGGTTGAAAAGTTTGAAAGTCCTAATCTGCATACATTTTTGGGTCAGCAGCAGGGATGTATTTACCACAAGGCAAACAAGGCATTTGCCTAGGGTGTCAATTTTCAGGGGAGCAGCAGCATGTTTAAGGGGGCAGTGCGGCCCTGAAAGAAGAGATGGAAGAAAGGACACATGCAGCATGGGGACCAGGTGGGATCTGAGAGAGGCCACGGGCTGCTTGATGGTGTATGCAGAGCCTGACTCTTGTTCTTGGGGATTTCCAGAGCTGTGAAAGTGAGTGTCTATCTCATCCCAGGGTGGGGGGTTGCCAGTGTATGGGGGGTGGTGGTAGTGGAAGGCTCTTTTGGGTGGGGGGCTGGGGGTGTTGTTGGTCAATGTCAGGCTTTCTTCATGAGGGAGGGAAGTGCTGGTCGGTGTCAGGGTCTCTCTTTGGGGGGGGGGGGGAGCCAATTTTTGTGTTGCCTAGGGCAGCATGAAACCTAAATACATCACTGGTCAGCAGGTCAGTTTTCTAAAGCAAGTTCATCCCAGGTAATCACTGGCTGTGCAAACAGGTCCAAATAGCTGCAGCTGCCAGCAGTCTGTCATTGCAGTGTGCAAGCGCTGTGGCCGTAGCTATCCAAACACAGCTGTCAATCCCAATCGCAGGAACGTGTAGATTCTTGATGCTGAGATTTGCACCGTGGCTAAACACCTGCACGAATACCACCTAACTGAAGGCAATGCTTTTTTTTGCTTTGGATAGAGTGGAGAAGGATTAGAACACCTGTCATGCGTATGTCGCCATTAAGGAGATTCACTTTTTTTTTCTGTTCTGATTTCACTAAACCTGAAAGGAAATCCCAAATTTTGAGTGGTCACCAGAAGATGAAGAGAGGGAAAATCTTCCAATGGGCACACTAGTTTTGGTGACTACAAGGGATTTCCCTTACTTTAGAGACAGTTCCCCTCACTTCCCGTGAATTGGCTCCCCCCCCCCAAAGAGAGACCCTGACACCGACCAGCACTTCCCTCCCTCACGAAAGTGTGTTGAAAAAAAGTGAATAAAGCTCAAAATCCTTCTAATAGCTTTTATTTCCATACACACAAATGCATTGGGAACACTACACATTCTATTCCAAATCAAAACATGAAGAAAAAACATATCAAATTTGTGTTGTTCCTCTAACAAAATTTAAGAAAAGTGATTAGACTGTTCAAAAAAATAGCAGTGTTTGTATTCTTCTTTACAAACTCAAACATTCACTATATAAACTGAAAAATGTTGGAAAATTTTGCTTTCCTTTGAATCACTTAATTAATATTTAGTTGTATAAGCATTGTTTCTGAGGACTGCTGTACATCTGTGTTGCATGGAGTCAAGCAACTTCTGGCACCTGTGAATGGGTATTCCAGCCCAGCATGATTGGACTACATTCCACAGTTCTTCTCTATTTCTTGGTTTGCCTCAGAAACTGCATTTTTGATGTCACCCACACAGTTTTCTATTGGATTAAGATCCGGGGATTGGGCTTGCCACTCCATAACATCAATCTTGTTGGTCTGGAACCAAGATGTTGCACGTTTACTGGTGTGTTTGGGGTCGTTGTCTTGTTGGAACACCCATTTCAAGGGCATTTCCTCTTCAGCATAAGGCAGCATGACCTCTTCAAGTATTCTGATGTATTCAAACTGATCCATGATCCCTGGTATGCGATAAATAGGCCCAACACCGTAGTATGAGAAACATCCCCATATCATGATGCTTGTGCAACCATGCTTCACTGTCTTCACAGTTTACTGTGGCTTGAATTCAGTGTTTGGGGGTCGTCTGACAAACTGTCTCTGGTCACTAGACCCAAAAAGAACAATCTTACTTTCATCAGTCCACAAAATGTTGTGCCATTTCTCATTAGGCCAGTAAATGTTCTCTTTGGCAAATTGTAACCTCTTCAGCACATGTCTTTTTTTCAACAGTGGGACTTTGCGGGGGTTTCTTGTAGATAGCTTGGCTTCACATAGGCGTCTTCTAATTGTAACAGTACTCACAGGTAACTTTAGACCTTCTTTGATCTTCCTGGAGCTGATTGTTGGCTGAGTCCTTGCCATTTTGGCTATTCTTCTATCCATTCGAATGGTAGTTTTTCGCTTTCTTCCACATCTTTCAGGTTTTGGTTGCCATTTTAAAGCATTTGTGATCATTTTAGCTGAGCAGCCTATCATTTTCTGCACTTCTTTATATGTTTTCCCCTCTTCAATCAACTTTTTATTCAAGGTACGCTGTTCTTCTGAACAATGTCTGGAACGACCCATTTTCCTCAGAATTTCAGAGAGAAATGCACTGTAACCAGCATGTACAACATTTGCTGCCTTCCTTCCTTAAATAAGGGCAATAATTGCCACCTGTTTTTCAAAGAATAAATGACCTCACTAATAGAACTCCACACTGCTATTATTTTGAACATGTCCCTTTCAATTAGTGATTCAATTACACAGAATCAGCAGCATGCATATCATGACTGTTGGGTCTGTTGGATTTCTATTACTCTACTACACCTGCCAGTAAATTATTTGCCATGTAGAAATATAATTTCTACCAAAAAACAGTGATTGATCAGGTTATTATTATTATTATTATACAGTATTTATAAAGCGCCAATAGTTCACTCAGCGCTTGTACATTACAAAGGGGGACAGAACATGGTGACAGAACAATACCAATACAATGCAAAACATGAGGGGATTGAGGGCCCTGCTCTTTCGAGCTTACAATCTAGGAGGGAAGGAATGGTGGCACAGGAGGAGATAGCTGTGGGGGATGGAGTGGTAGGAAGAGTGGAGGAGGTCGGGCAAGTTAGCAGGGGGTGGGGTAGGCTTCCCTTAAGAGATGAGTTTTCAGGGTGCGCCTAAAGGATGAGAGGAGAGTAGGTGATAATCTGATGGGTTGGGGCAGGGAGTTCCAGAGGATGGGTGACACCCTGGAGAAGTCCTGGAGGCGGGCATGGGAGGAGGAGACCAGGGAAACTAGAGGAAGGAGGTCTTGTGAGGAGCGGAGTGTGCGTGCTGGGCGGGGTACTTGGATATTAGGTCAGTGATGTAGTTCGGGGGCAGTATGGTGGACAGCTTTGTACGTCAGCGTTAGGATTTTGAATTTGATCCGTTGCGCAATCGGAAGCCAGTGGTGGGATTGGAGAGGGGGGGTGGCGGAAATGGAGCGGTTGGGAAAGGTGAATGAGTCTGGCAGCCGTATTCAGGATCGACTGAAGCGGGGATAGCCAGCGGCGAGGCAGGCCAGTGAGGAAGGGGAGTTGCAGTAGTCGAGTCGTGATATGATGAGGGAGTGGGATGAGCTGTTTAGTGGTTTCTGGAGTTAGGAACGCACGTATTTTGGGCGATGTTGGGGAGGTGGAGTCTGCACGAGTTTGTTAAAAGATTGGACTTGGGGCTGGAAGGATAGGTTGGAGTCCAGAATGACACCAAGTACTCTGGCCTGCGGGGCAGGTTTGATGGTGGCGGTTGTTGGATGTGACGGAGAAGTCAATGGGGAGTGGTGTCCGGGCTGGGGGGAAGACAAGAAACTCGGTTTTGGAGAGGTTCAGTTTAAGGAAGTGGGAGCGACATCCAGTCTGATATGTCGCTCAGTAGGTGTGTGATTCGGGCGGAGAACGAGAGGGGGTGAGGTGGGGGGTTGAGAGAGATAGATCTGTGTGTTGTCGGCATTAGAGGTGGTAGTTGAAGCCGTGAAGAGTGTATCAGTTGGCCAAGGGAGGTGG